AATAGGAAAGCATGTGGGGGAATAAAAGGAATTTATTCTTGAAGCATCTGTAACATCAGCTAATTTATGTATGAAAACTGACAGCAATATAAAGAAAACACGCAGTTGTGTTTTCAAAGACACTTCTGCATTTTGGTTATGCCATTCCAGAAAGAAATCTTTATCTCATTGCTTGGCAGGGCCAGAAGCAGCTGCAGTGTGATGGCAAGGAGGATGGGAAGAACACTTATGCTACGGTGGGTGATGCTAATCAACTGTAGAAATCCCTTAGATAAATCTCTGTCTTGATAGTGTTGCTGTTTACCCTTTTGATCTATTTCTTTGGTGCTCTTGTGCTATGCTAAATGTCCTTAGCTGTTGTTCACATGCTGGTATGCTCTCCTAGGGCATATAGTCCTACTGGCTAAGATTAAACTCGCAATGAATTACCACCTCCATGATGGAAATTCCTGTGACAATTAGAATATAATTTTGCAAATATAAACCATGTCTGTACTAGGAATAGGTTGTAGCTATGATGCTTTTTATCAGGAGAGGACAGTGGCTTTATTTACACTTATGTGCAATCTTTGCAACCAAATCCAAAGGCTTGCTTCTTACCTCTGAAATATTCTCAACTGGAAAAAGTGGCATAGGTAATGGACTTCTTTCATGTCTAGAGACAAAGTAAAATATCGCATTCTGTCCTCCTCTGTACAAGCTGTTTCACTGTTCTCCTTGCTACAATGTAGTATGAGCACTGTACCTGTGGTCTGCAAGGGATCTAAACTTTTTTTAGCCTCCATTCTTAAGCATGCATTGTGGTGCATTCTGGTACTCAATTGCCTTTGCACAGACTTCAGGCATTTTGATTAATATTTCAGTATTATGCTAGAGAGGGATTAGAGACAAACATTAGTAAAAATAGGAAAGATCATTTAAACAGTAAGAAACAAGATTCTGCCAATAGCATATGTTCGGGAGCTTTGCTAAGCCCTATCTCAGAATAAATTGGTGTGAAAAGCCCACAGGCTGTCCATCAAAAACTGTTAATCCACTGATAAAATCCCTCATCATCTATACATGATGGCCTATGTTTCCTCTAAAGTATAGCGTTACATTAGAAGCAATCACATGCATCTATGGAAGGAGATGCTTTCAGTTGTCAGCATCTCCCCTTTATTTATACTTTTTGAATTTTAGTTTAAACAGAACTTTTTCATCCTTTTCTAGCCTGTCTCCACCATCATTTTTTATTCAAAAAAATCATGTTGTTTGAGAGAGTGTAGTTGCTGTCATGTTTGGGTAAGCAGGGAGTAAAATGAATTTTTTCTTTACCGTTTTGCATTTCAATTTCTGGGCTTCTCTTCCTCCTCCTCTCCTGCTCTACTGTCACTGACTGCTTCTAGTGTGATCTAAAGGGAGCTCACCTCTACCATTTACTGTAGTGGAAATGGAGGCGGTGCAACATTGTTATGGACACCAGTCTCTTGGGGATGGCTAAGAACATCGGTCCTTTATCTTGTAAAAATTATGCATCCACCTAACTGGAAAATACAGTCTGACAAAACTCACAAGAACAACATGTGCAGACATTTTTACAGTTCAGTGGACCAAAGTCTGAATAGGTTTTTGTGATCTCAGCGACCACATTCACAACAACTAAGATTTCATTTACCAGCCTAATTATCCAGAATTGCAGCTGTTCATTACCAGGCCTCTAGGCTGATTTGTTCTAAATATCGCATAGACCTAACCCAACCAACTCTTTAAACAGGTACTGAGCTGTTCCAAAATTTAAGCTATGATCACAGCCATTGAACGCTTTTGAAAATCAAGTCATTATGCAATTATGCATTCTTTTTCCTCTTATACTTTGTTCTTATGGAATAACAGTATTAGATTTTACATCAACATAATAAAAACTCAATAAATGCTCCCCACATACTATGCATTACTTACAGAACATGTCAATAAAAAGACAACCAGAATGAAAAATCCTCATGGTAATATAAGAACTCTGGCAACATGGATCCCTTTTTCTTGCCCATACTGCCCTGTTCATGCATGAATTTTTTTTTTTGTTATACGTTCTTAATTAGGCCTCAAAAAACACAAGAACATGCCTATTGGGGCTAAATATAATTTAATTAACAATATATGTTACCAGTTTTCTTGCATATTATTACACTTTGTCTTCTCACCTGTAAGACACACGTTCCTTGTTTGTATAGTTAGCAGATTAAATAAAACCATAAAAAGGTTTATATTTTTAACTCCAGAGTTTTCTTACCCCCACATGCACCTTTTAATGTTTGAAATTAAGCAGCAGGGAGATTTAGGCTGAATGTTTCAAGGCCGTTATAGTTAGCTATACCTCTGAGATCCATTCAGCAATGTAATGCTAACAGAGCACTTAATCTGCGTCACTGCAGAGACTCTAGGGTGTGTGCCGAACGGAAGGTATTTATTTACCGAATTAAAAGCACAGCAAGTAAAGGGCTGGGTGCTATTTAAGCATATTTTATTGACTCCTATTCTGCTTCTATTTACTAAAGTTCTCAGTGATGGAAAATGATGGATGAGCTGATTGCTTGGCTTTCCTAAAGGTGAAATGCATCTTCTCTGATTTATTTCTCTTTCATTGACAAAACAGCTTTTGGTGTAGTTGGAGAATATCCAAGTCCAGCTAGATGGGTAGAATCCTGGCAGCTTCTCTTACTGCTATATTACAGTCAAGCTTGTGTAAGTCTTATAATGCAAATTCTGACAGATCTGAGATTTAATGCCAAGTCCAGTCTTAAAGCTATTGTAGAAATATATACATCTATAAGCATGTCTGTGGATAATAAAAAGATTTATGTGTTCAGATCTTGACTTAAATGAGGCTATGCCAATTTGTACCAGAGAGGGTTCTGGCCCATAATTTTTGTGCATAAGTGATATATGTTTATGCACACAAATATATTACCTCTAACCTAGCTCTTATTTGTTAAGACCACACAGTATGTAACACTCCTTTGGAAATATGCACTGAATTTTCTATGTTCTGAATCTGCTGTTTTATTTATGTTTGATTTGATCCTGATTGATTTAAACATTTATGGATTCAGCTTAGTCCATAGATTTCTCACAATATATTATGGAGCTACCTGATTAAGAAAATTACTTAAAATATGTCATTATAAAGCACTGTGGAAGTGTGATAAGGTTAGTCTCATAAAGGGCTTACTTTCCAAATGCAGGTAGTTAAATTCAGGCTAAGGAAATACCACTAATTTTACTAGGCAGGCAAGAGCCATGGCTGTATCTCGTCTTTTACACTAGATGTTTGTGTCTCTTTTGAATCTATTTTCCTGAAAAGACCGAGAATAAAATAGAAATATATTTTAAACTAAAATACATGCAGTTAAATTCAGGCTAAGGAAATACCACTAATTTTACTAGGCAGGCAAGAGCCATGGCTGTATCTCGTCTTTTACACTAGATGGCTATTTTTATCCAGATATTTAATTTGTCTCCTTCTCATTTCAAAGATATCATTTTCCCATGCTTTTGGCTCATGATTTTATAAATTCCTTTCCAGACTCTGGTGTTAGCTACAAGGCTATATCAGAGCTGTCAAAATTGACAAATAAATCTTCAAGCCTTAGAAAAAAAGGGCTTTCAATCACAGAGCTGGTGATAAACATACTAGATTAATAATACTGCTTTTCTTAGGAGAGAAGGAAAAAAATGACTCAGTGCTGAAGTAACAAGTGATTCTTATCATCTTGCAAATATGAAAAGGGTATTAGAGTATTGTTCATAGAGCACTTGAACATAGTTCCTGAATAATTTCCTGTCATTCTCTGTGTTTTATATAACAGATAGGAAGAGGTTATTTGAACATAGCTGACTGGGCTTGGGGCAGTCCAAAACCAGTTTGTGTACGTTCCTAGACACAGTGTGTCAGGTTCAATGTATGTGTATGTATAATGTGTATTCTGAAATACATAAAAGTAATTGCAGGCTGACAGATCCTAAGAGCATGTGTTATTTCTTTCACCCTTATGTTGAAATAAGCTAAAAGTAATGGTTTAGTTGTGGATGGTAGATGTTCTCATCTAGTTTGACAAGCATATACAAAAGCTATTTTTTTCCGCACAAAATCTTTAACTTTGTGACTCTTCCAAAAAGCCTATAACGTGCTGGGGTTACGGAGAATTCACTTCAATTCATTTCTCTTCAATTTCTCTTTCAGTTCATGATCATGGGAAATATGCTCTAGAGGACCCTGCTTGAGCGGGGGGGGTTGGACTAGATGGACTCCAGAGGGCCCTTCCAACCTCAACCATTCTGTGATTCTGTGAAGACAAACATTTTTAAAGAAAGTTGTATAATAATCGAGACATAGCCTCTTTTCATACCTGTTAATACAAAGCACTGATGAAGAAGTACTATGAACAAGCCATTGTGTGGCTTTAATTAGATGAATTTATTCCCTTTTAAAGTACTGGGGTACTTACTTTATCTGAGATGTTCCTTTTTGTGTTATGTTCCTGCTTAAACAGGTTGACATGCTATCATTCTAGCCATTCATATCATATTACCTGTTCCATCCTTTCTTGCTGGCATGAGAATTTTGAGGAAAGGAGTGACTTTTAAATGCCCCCCCTAGATTTGACCTGGGTACCTTTTAGCCTGGATTTGCCAAAGATATGATAGGAGTTGGATGTTCTGCCACAAGTAGATGCAAACTAGATGTTTCTCTCAGATAAGATTTTTATTCATAATTAAGAGATGTGAAGAGATTTTCGTCTGAGTTCATTTAGATTGTCAATTCTGGGTCTAAAAATTAACATTTGTTTCTTGCAGTGCTAGAGCCAACCAAGCTGGTAAGCCATGTTTATTAAATGTTTGTAAGTGTGCTTATGTGCTGGGTGGATGATACTTCACCATGTTCCTGGTTAGAATTCCTCCCTATGTTCTACATGTTTTGCAGGCAGCTTAAATAGGGCTCAAATTCCCTTGCCTGCAAGGACAATGGGTATGTGCACAGGCTGTGTTCAGGGAACGCGTTCTCAGATCCTGCTCATCAGGTAAATGTAACGTCATGCAAGAATAGCATCTCTCTTGTATGGTCAAGAACTGTTCCGTATGTCTTAAAAGAAAAAAGAACAAAAATAAAAAAACCTAGGTTTTGTTGCTGACTTTATTTCCTATGACATAGATCAGTGGAATCAAACTGGGAAGCAGTAAGTGTAGCTATTACAGCTTAGAGAAGTTGCAGGTAGTCTGTTTCATCGGTGTTTTTTTTTTTCTTTCAAGGGGAGATGTATTGAGGGATGATATTGACGTAGTCTCTCATTTATGTATCTAAATAAAATCCTATTTAAGAGTTGAATGTTCTGTCATAAATTGATATCAGCTTTGGGCAGGTCAGATGCCTCAGTCCTTGATAGAATGTAGTACTTCAGACTAAACAGACTCGGCAAATGAGTTAAGCATAAGTTGTAAGTCAAGCATGTGCTTAAATCTCATTGAATTTCTAATAGGGTGTGGGTGCTGTTCTGTGTTGAATTGAAAAACTTAATGCTGTTTTGCTGCTATCAATTTGAATTTATTTTTAGCTGTTCACATAGTGTCAGGGGAAAAAAGGATTCTAGACACTTAATATTTTCATTATGATGAATAAACTAACCCAAACTCACTTTAAGATTATTGTGCTGATATTTCTCTTGGGAGAAGTGTACCATGTTTTCTGCTTTTGCAGACTGAGAGGTCATCAGATGGCACTTGAATAGAAATACGAGCTTACTGTATATAGGGTAGTAATATGTGCAGCTGCTTTAAATGATAGATGAATGAATTAGGAGAATGTTGTTGGATGAACTTTGGGATTTTCATTGTGCCACTCACCAGGACATCGCTGTACCCACTAATGAGAGGTTTGGCAGGTGAGGCAAGACAAAACCCCAACTGTACTGGACATCAGTGGGAACAGTTGTCAATACAATTGGTATCTTATCCATCAGAGTGCCAAGTAAGAGTTGGCATTTGTTACAGCTAATAAAGCACCGTGTCTCTTAACAATGAGAAATTGAACTTAAGTATCATGCTTGTGGAGTTTGAAGGAGACGGATTTTAATGACCTACTCCTATTTTTTTCCCCAGCATGTCAAAAAATTATGAAGTGTGCTGGAATTTTATTGCTGCTTTTTGTTATGGGAATGGCTCATGAGTTATGTGACTAGATTTCTGAGTGCAGAAGGCTGGCCGTGCCCCCTCCCTCTCCCAACTTAGGAAAAACATTATATACTCTTTTTTATCAGATACAGTTTGTATCTATAAGTTATGTAACCTATACCTGTCACAGGCATTATAAAAATATACAGCATTCAGGACCAGAGTCTGTATTTCTGACCTATTCTTGATTTAGTCTAGTACTTCAGTTTGTAGATTGTGTTAAACATAATGACACTGCCTCTCTTGCCATAAAGTAGCTCCCACTTCACAATTGAAATACTCCAGTTCATAATGGCATGAAAGGCCCTATACTTTGATTTACTCATTTGGCTTGTTCAAGAAAAAATTTACCAGCCGTTTTAGGGGAAGTTATAAAGAAGAATGTGTAATATCTTCTGTTGTTGGACAAGAAGTAGAGTTTAGAAGAACTGAATTGTAAATTCACAGGCCGTATCTTGGTCGAGCTTTCTTTCTAATTTTGGGCTGAAAGAAGGGATTTAAGTAGAAGAGAACTATGCATACCATTAATATTAAATGGACACATGCACCTTGCATGTATCACAAAAGTTGCTTATTTGACTAATGTGTTTTGGGGAGTTTTATATGATTTCTGAATGCTCTGTTAGTTTCTTCGGATGAATTAAGTGCAACAGATTGGCTTTTCTAGTCAGCACCATGGGGAATAGGAGTTTAGAAAAAGATGGGAGTATTGGACGTAAATGGTTAGTGTAATTTTGGATAAAGTTAACTAAAAAGAGGAATTGTTGCATGGAGTACATTCCAAGTTGTAATCTCACCTCTGCTATGTTGGTTCTCATGCAGCTTGTGCCTCTTCGTATATATATTTAGGAAATTAAATAGAATGAGAAGCACTTTCTTATAAAATTCCAAAGCTGAAATAGGTGATTGCCAACTTTGAAAAGTGGATAGGTAGTTTTTATTGAAAAATCTTATGGATATTTATAGTAAGACAGTCTAATGATGAAATGGTTAGAGCTGAGGAGGAGGTAGGCAGAGCTGTTTGCATGCTAGGAAAGAAGTGTGACCTCCTCTCATTTCTTTTCCTTGTTATATATTTTACTTAGTGGAAAAGTCACTACGTTTGTTTCACCTCAGGTCAGGTGAAACCTCCTGGTTTGAGTTTATTTCATACCTTTACAAAACAGTACCTTTTAAAAAAAAAAAAAAATCCAGAGAAGCACTATTATTCAAGTTTTGTTCAACTTTACTTGTGTGGTAACTTGCTATGGCTCAAAAAGGGAGTGGGTGGGAGGGAAAGTTCCTTTTGTATTTGGAGTTGTCATTGACTATTCAGATATTAATGACTTAAATGCCATGCATACTTTCTTTCTGTACTATAATTACCTTTTGACAGTGACAGATACTTGAGTTTGATTCACAGCAAGGTTACCATGTAAGGCAAAAGAGGAAAATCAGTGAAAAACATCAGCTTTTCAAATGGGAGCAGTATATTAGGTGATATTATAATTAGTTCATGTAGGCATAAGAGCTATTTCTGAACACAATAAGGTCAATATGATTACATCAGTCTCTGCATACCCCTCAGGACCCTTGTCATCTTATCCCTAGTTATCACAGCTCCTTTATATATCAAAGTCCATGTGGAGTTTGGACAGCTTGTTGCTTGATCAAACTAAAATCCTGTGAGGTTTTAATTTAAACCAGACCTTGCCCCCGAAGTGGTACAGTTAAACTAATGTTCGGGCAAAGAAATCCTAGAAATGAGCCTTTTGACTAAGTAGGTTTGAGTTAAGTTTGTAACAACTTGCATTGAACCCGTTCTCCTTTTTTTTCGGAAACTCTTCCCAAAGCAGTCTAAATATTATGTCCAAGGAAAGAAATTTGCTTTTGAACTTGGATTTATTAGATCGCCTGAGGTCCACGTTAAGCCAATATTTAAGAGGAATCCGCTATCCTCTTTCTCAGAGGAATAGGAGATAAATGATAGTACTTGTTAATTTTAGATACTTCTAACAGGAAAAAATCCAATTCTAGAATACTTTGAAATTCTCAAGTAGGAGCTCCATAAAATTTTTTGTTAACCTTGTTTTTATTTGATTTTAAAAGTAGTAAGACCTCCTGTTATTGTTTGCATGTGTAGAGCCTATAGGTTGATTTGTGTCTTGAGGTGTTGCTGTAGCTGAAGACAAGCCCTACTTTAATCAGGCAAATGCCAGTCTTTGGACAGACAAGGATAACCAGATCTTTCTCTTTTTCTATTTCAAAGGCAATGTTTACTGTTTTCTGTTGTTGGCTCTAATGCAATCATATGCCCTCAATGCTTGATGTGATCAGGTCACTGATACCTCTCTTACTGGAGTGTGGGGATTTGAAAAGTCTAGATGGGCAGGGGCTGGAGGAAGTTTTTGCTGAAGTTATGAGCATAACATTAAACAGATACTGCTTATCTTTCCTTTGCTAGCAGCCAAGGGAAAACCTCGCCATGCTGTTTTATGCAACATCTGTTGTTGAGAATTATGTACATTATCATTCTGGTGGAAGAAGAAGAGTTCTGCCCCCAGCATTTACAAAGGAAATTAAACTGACGTTTATCTGCAGAACAGCTCTGATGCTGCAGTTACTTTAAGAGAAGAGCTATCCTGGTTACTTTAAGAGAAGAGCTATCCTGGAGTATGTGTGGATTTTCTTTGCCTCCTCCTTTTCTAATATATTGTCAGCAGTTGTACAGCAGCCTTATTATTTGCTTGCAAACAAAATAAAAACTTGTCTCTAGTCCAGTTAGAAGGCGAACGTGAATAGCTTGGCAGTAAGAATTTCCTCCAGCAGTTGAATCGGCAGCTGGCCACAGCAAAGCCTTTAGCCTTAAAAATGAACATTGATTCATGAATTGAGTTTGGGGAAAGCTCTGTGCCTCATTCAGTAAATAAAATGCTACTATAGCTAAGAATAAAGCATTCTACCACATGTGCAGTTATGAATTGGGTATGAATTCATTATATTTATTATTGCCCTGTTGCTGAGCTTGAAGTACTTGCATCAGCAGGTACTGCGTTTTGGCCCAGGGTTTGATAAGCAGTTATGATAAGTCAATAATTGTACTTGGGAGAAATCCTAGTTTACACTCATCATTTGTGGGCAAATTGGAGTTTTTAGTTTACTGCAGGTTAGTTTTCCCCCATGCAAGTTAATCTCTTTGGTATATCACAGTGCACCTGATCCAAATGGTCATCACTTTCTTGCCAATGAAGTGAGAGCAGTAGGAAATGGAGTATCTTTCCAGCAGTACTAGCACCTAAGAATCCCATTCTCCCAGTTTCAAAACTGGTTTCAGTTTTTTGGGGGACAGGGAAAGGAGGGCAGCAGATTTAAACTGATGGTGTAAATCAGTTGATTTACAGGTGAAATCAGGTAGATTTGAGATCTAGTATATAAGCAGGCTACTGGTTTTCTGAATTTGCTAGGTCCTATTAAAATGAATTGGTGATATTTCAGAACTAGCTGCCTACATCATCATCATTGCTCCTTAACTTTAATAAGCACATGAACTTCATCCTAACATCATTCTATTTATACTAGTGAATTATTTGTTACCCTTGAAAGAAATCCAAGCAGTTACCTATTCTATGTGCAGCATCATTTGTACCATCACTAAGTTAATCTTTGATTTTATTTTCTAGTAATCTTACGAATTAAAAATTCACTATTTTTTCTTCATTATTGACAATGAAAATGAGCATTTTGGCCTCTCTTGTTCCTGTTTGGTTTTCATTCATACACTTTCTATTGTCATAGATGCTTGTAGTTCCAAGTTAGCTTCTATGTGTACATTGAAAATCGAATAAGAGAGCTCTAAAATATCCTTTGATTTAAA